CAAAAAAAGAAAAAAAGACAAAATGGTGAATAAGACAGACTTGGTGTGAGCATTTAAAAATCTGTCACGCCTCTGCTCAGAATCCCCCAACAGCTCTCCAGCTATGTGGTCCTACATGACTTGGCCTGGATCACTTTACAGCTTTACCCCCTGCCACTATCCCCCTGGAGGCCTCTGTGTTGTTCTGACACTATAGCTGTGCCTCCCCTCTGGACCATGTGCTGTCTCTTCTCTGCACTGGGAGGTTTCTTGCCCTACTTTCTCCCTTCCTTTCTGAAGATTTTTACTTAAATGTCACTCACCTTAGAGAACCTACCTTTCCTGTACCTTATAGAAAATAGCACTACTGGCTCGGCGCCTATAGCATAGTGGTTACAGCACCAGCCATGTACACTGAACCTGGTGGGTTCGAGCCCTGCCCGGGCCAGCTAAACAACAATGACGACTGCAACAGAAAAATAGCTGGGCGTTGTGGCGGGTGCCAGTAGTCCCAGCTACTTGGGAGGCTGAGGCAAGAGAATAGCTTAAGCCCAAGAGCTTGAGGTGGTTGTGAGCTGTGACACCATAGCACTCTACCAAGGGAGACTCTCTCAAAAAGAAAAAAAAGAAGAAGAAAAAGTCCAAAGACAGAATCATCATGCACTAAGGTGGTCTAGGGCCAGGCAGAGCAAGAGGGGTCTCTTGAGTAGAGCAAGAAATGGGCAGGGAGAAGGGAGGAAGACAGAAAGGGGCAAAGCCACAGACACAGGGGGTAGGCATTTGGAAAGGGTGAGACTGGAGAGGTTACGTGGGAAGTCCAAGAACTTACTCCAGGTTCTTTCTCATGCTTCTGTTTTTTCAGCCTGACTTCTTGTGCTGCTCTGTCCCTGAGATTATTGATTATTCTTTTACTGCTATCACCGGCTGTTCTCTTCCTAGAACAGTGATCATCATCACGACTCCCAGCTACCCGTCCCTACTAAAATAGACATTTAACAGAAATATGTATACTTAAATAGATGTACATACATTTATAAATATAGTTTCAATGTTCAAAGTAATTTGAACATTTGTTAAAAATTAAAATATAGAGAGATATATAAAGGAAAAAGAATGTTTGCTGACCCAGTTTACTTAATCGGCCCCTGCCCCCTCCCACTCCCCAGGGCTTGTCCCTGTGAACAGACTTGTTTGCATATCCTTTTAGTGAATACATTCAAATGTGCATATATGTACATGAGCTCATACTGTACATTTCCTCCTTTTTTTTTCTTTTTTGAGACAGCCTCAAGCTATTGCCGTGGGTAGAGTGCCATGGCATCACAGTTCACAGCAACCTCCAACTCCTGGGCTTAAGTGATTTTCCTGCCTCCACCTCCCAAGTAGTTGGGACCACAGGCACCAGCC